GTTCAAAGATGTACAATTTAAATGATACGCCTTGTATATATATATATCTCCTTCCACGGCACCTGCCGGTAGTGGAGATATGAGGGGGGATGAACCACATCCCAGACCTCATACTCGCCTAGTTCTGAAGGACACGACGAAGGATGCTGGCCGTGCCCAAGTTTGCTGTACGCTGGAGGATATTGAGTGAGATTTCACACTTCAGCTTCCTGATGTCCCCTGAGGTCTTACAGGACGACGTCAATTGTGCCTATGATGATTGGAACTATGGTCTTCATTCCGCACAACTGTTCTACTTCCACTTTCAGTTCGGGGTATTTCTCCATCTTCTCCCTGGTCTTCTCTTGCTGGTTGTTATCGGCTATGATGCTCACATCTACGAGGGCGGTCGTCTTCTTATAGATCGTAAGGTCCGGCCTATTGCAGCCTATACTGCAAGCTGTAATTATAGGCATGTCCCATAGTATGTTTGATGAGGCGTTCTCCACAACAGATTCTGGTTGGTGTTCGTACCACTTCTCTGGGACTTCCAGGCCAGCTTGCTTGGAGACACATCAGTGCACATTTTTGCACATCTGGTCGTGCCTGTACGAGTACTCTGTCGGGGCATGCATTGAGGTGGTGAACCGTTTCGGGTGGCCCATGACAGCATCTGCAGCGGTCTTCAACATCCAGCTTCAGGTAGTGCATATATATATATTTTTTTTTTATTTATTATTATTTTTTTATTAATATATATTTTATAATATTTATTTTAAAATATATATATTAATTTTATAATAATTTTATAATATAAATATAATATTTAAATAATTTTATATATATTTTAAAATATTTTAAAATATTTTATTTTTTTAATTTAATTTTATTTATTTCATTTTATTTTATATATATATATATATAGGCAGCAGCGTGGCGCAGCGCTTGAATCGGAGCCCCTTCGATCACCAAGTTAAGCAGCGTCAGCATGGGCACAACCTGGATGGGTGACATGGGAAGATCGAGCTGCTTGCCTAACGCGGTGCTGGGCACTTCACCGATAAAGGGCGGATGAGAATCTAGACAGTCCAACGGCCGTGGTGCCCCATGGATCAGAGGATCACCATGTGCACCCAGTGC